CACGTTGTCTTCATCGGTGTCTTGTTTTTCTCAGACAAAAAGTTGTTGTGTTCGCCATTTTCCTAAGATAAAACTGCTCTGTTCACCTAAAATCTTGAGAGATTTTAGATGAATCAGTCAAATATCCCGAGGGTTAAGTTTTCTTTTAAATGATGCAGCTATAGTTTTTCATGAAAATAATAAATATAAACAAAAATCCTTGAAGCTATCTATATTTAAAATATGGAAACCAACCCTTAACAAAATGAATTATGCATGATGAACAGATGTTTTAAAATATTTACAGTAGATAGTTTAAAATATCTAAGTTTTATCTAATAGTTTTAAATAGTTGTTCTTTGTAAAAGATTTAGACATTTCAATAGCTTCTTTACCTCCCTTGACTTTTGTTCATATGCCTACATGTTCAAATTTTAAAAATATGCAGTACCTTAGCGTTTTCCAATTTAGTTATAAAAATTTAATTTTCATTTGAACACAACAATTTTCTGTTAGAAAAATGATGAGCACAATATTTTTTCATTTCGAAAAAACAAGGCCCTGACGTCGAAATAAACGAATGATAATGACTAGGAAACAATATGGTAATTTTCTTTCTTCTACTTAAGGGTACTAAAAAATTTGTCCGGAATTATGAGAAGATCCTATAAAAAGTATAAAACTTGTCTTAATGAAAACATGCTGCCAAAATAGATTCAATATAAATATATTATATATATATATATATATATATATATATATATATATATATATATATATATATATATATATATACAGTGTAACCTGGATACAAGAGACCCGGATATAAGAGAAACCCGGATATAAGAGAGATTTTCTCTGGTCCCAAATTAAAGCCTGTGTTAATGGATATAAAATAGACCAAACCTTAATATAAGAGAAACCCGGATATAAGAGACTTCTTCTCCAGTTCCGACAACTATCTTATATCCGGTTATATATATATATATATATATATATATATATATATATATATATATATATATATATATATACACCTAGTGAGCCAGACAAACCTACCTAGGTTTCACCTAAACGGATCGTCAGGGAACGTTTGGCTAACGAGGCAAAGAGAAACACATATGTATTGTATTGAGCTCTTTTGTTAGTTAGTTGTTACTCGTATCGGGGTTTATTCTTTGGGCTTCAGACCTGCATCTGTGCGATTTTTTGTCGGCAGAAGTCCATGTTTGTAGCTCTTTCTTTTTTTTTTAAACCTTTTTTTCCCTCGAGATTGATTTGATTAGCAAATCAAAAATTCGAGGGTTTTTCGAAACGAGTCTAGTTATCTATATTTATATGTATATATATATATATATATATGAAAGAAAAATACAGAAAAAACAAAATTCTGAATATGCATTATTAATGTTAAAATAAAGTCGACGTCGGACGTTTCGGTCTATTTAAGACCATCTTCATGGACATTTTCATTTAAACATAATTAACATTATAACTTTAATTTAACACAAAAACGATGGAAGATTTCAACTAATTCAAACAGATAATAAATTTTATACAGATCAGCGTTCTGTTTAAATTTGATCACGTAGTCGTTTTAGAACGATGTTGTTATCGTTTTTTCCAAAAATTAAAATATCAAAAGTTTTGGAAAATTTTTGTAAAAGTTAAAGAAATTCTTCCGTTGATGTTGAAATACGTAGTGAAACAATTGTTTCTTATATCTTCAACATCAACGGAAAAGTCCTTCCCGTTACAATGCAAATAAAAATGATTTCAAAAACGATTTTGAGTTTTAAAAAACAGTTCGATAAAAATTCCATTCTTCGATCTATTATTCTCGTCCAAGCTTGAAATCGCCCACGTTATAAAGAAATTCAGGTTTGTATTTTCAGTAGAGAACGTAAGCAAATATATGGATATAAAATTTCAGTTATCTGTTTGAATTAGTTGGGCTCTTATGTCCATCGTCTTTTGTGTTAAATTGTTATAAGTTATAATGTTAATTATGTTTAAATGAAAATGTCCATGAAGATGGTCTTAAATGGACCGAAACGTCCGACGTCGACTTTATTTTAACATTAATAATGCATATTCAGAATTTTGTTTTTTTTCTGTATTTTTCTTTCATACTGTCGGATTTATATCCATATATTTGCTTATATATATATATATATATATATATATATATATATATATATATATATATATATAGGAAAACTTTCTCAGAGTTAACCTGTAGAAAATATTTATAAATATTTATAAATGTAAAAGACAATAGAAAAAGGTGATATATGGAAAAAAAACCTGTTACATTCATAAAACAAAAATTAACTCTCTCAGAAGGAAAATCCTCGAGAGTGCCGCCATTGAATTTTATTCAAATATTAATCTACGCCCAGTTTTTCCCTATTTCACCTTTCTTAACAGAATTACCACTCTCCCAAACAAACGTACACAAATGTATCAAGAATTCAAAAGAAAATGGTTGAATCCGCTAACACAACAATAAGAACAATATTTCCACACATGACAGATCTTCACGTAATTTTCAGTTGAAAATATGAATACAATAGCCTTTTCTAAATTCTTCCAGTTTCTAAGGACATTTTGTTTTGATGTTAATAGTTACTTTGTTTTAATAAATTCATTTCGTTTTTGCCTTGAAAAAGTCGACATTGCCCGAAACGGAAAAAGTCATCAGCCTACAACAACCAATCAAAAACTTGCAAACTTTGCTTGGAGGAAAAAATAGCTATCATTACTTTCCCCGACCAAAATAAATTATTAAATAAAAGATCCGAGCTCATCTCAAAATGCAGGCATGAAAATAAATTTTTACTACGTAACCTAAAAAATGAAAAACGGAAAAAATAAAATAAAACAAACAAATACACTAATAAAAAAATAAAATAAATAAATAAATACTATGTTGCTTAAAAACCGAAAACCAGAAAGACAAAATATACAAATAAATTGACCTAAATTCATCCAAGTAAATAAATAGACAAACCAATCCCAAATTAAAAACTGTTCCCGCCAAAAAAATAATAGTTAGAATGAACTACAACAACCAACCCCAAAATTGAACAAATAGCTTTAATTAAATTCTCAAACCAAAACAAAACTGTTAAATACGTGATATAAACAAATTTTTACTATGTTAATAAATAAATAAATAAAAAAATAAGAAACAAAAAATAAAAACGAGCAATATAATTTGACCCAAATAAATAAACAAAGTGACTTCCGGTAAAAATAACCGCCATAATAGAATACCCACAATGCACCACTAACCCGTATATATATAAATAGCCGAGAAAAATAACAGCATATGTGGCCTGACGATTGCATATAGCATGAAACAGACTGTCGCCTCTAAGTGTTGACTTCTATGTTCACTTATATATATATATATATATATATATATATATATATATATATATATATATACAGGTAATAATCCGTTGCTATATAATCCAGGTGAATCCTAATAATATAAAATATTAAAACTGATCCACGAAAAATGTTCAATGTATTTATTATAGCAGAGCAAATAAAAGGCATAAAATAGAAATCCAAAATTACCTTATTTGAATAGCTATTTCGGCTCATAACATTTACTTTTAGGTCTTGTCAACTCAGAAGTTTGAAGAAATAAAAAAAATTAGGAGCTTAAAATTTAAACATTTAAAGAATAAACAAAGAGAGAAAGAAGAAAAGATTTTAACTGTCCTCGGGAAAAAAGTTGAAATAACTTTGAAATATATTTTAACTTAGTTTGAAACACAATCACAAAATTCAAATCTATGCTACCAAAAAATTGGAAAGAAACCATCAATAGGTAGTTTATAAAAGGAAAATTATTTAAATATATTAAAAAATTTTATAATATTTATATAAGGAAATTTAATTAAATATATTAAAAACAATTATAAAATTTGTTTACGAATATTATTTAAAAGTACTTAAAACTTTTAAAAATTATATAAGAAAAATTACTGTATTTAAAAATTAAAAAGATTATATAAAATATTACGTAAAATTACTTAAATGTTTTTTTTTTAAAATTATATAAGAAACATTACTTGAATGTATTTAAAAATTAAAAAATTATATAAGAGAATGTTACTTAAAATTTTTAAAAATTATATAAGGAAAATTACTTAAATATATTTAAAAATTAAAAAAAATTACATAAGGAAAATTACTTAAAAGTACTTAATTTTTTTTTTAATTATATAAGAAAAATTACATAAAAATTACTTAAATGTATTTAAAATTTAAAATATTATATAAGGAAAATTACTCAAAAGTATTATAAAACATTTTTAAAAAAAATATTACGTAAAAGGTAACACCTAAAATTAAAAGTAAATTTAAAACAATAATATACAAATAATGATGCATACAATAAAATAAATAAAATAATTATTAATTAAAATTATTACATACATATGCCAAGGTGGCCGAGTGGTTAGAACATTCGCTTTCTGACCATGAGACCCGAGTTCTCACCATGGTCGATTTGTCAGGAAGGAGCCTTAGGAGACGGGTATCCTCGGACACGATTTGCAATCTATTATATACTCGACTCCCCCGTCGAATTCGATGTATGAGGGTAAAGCATCAGTTCCTAGGAAACCGCCAGCAGCACATGAGATTTGATTATAGTGGCTACAGAATACGTACTCTATTAAAGTGGGATAGGTGATTTTACCGTCACGTAGTAGGTGTTGATGTTGATGATGACGGTCGTCTTCGAGTATAGAATCCAGAGGTTAGCAGTGAATATTTCGAAGACAGTAGGAAAGCGTTGTTCAGGTTAGCAGTGGATATTTTGGTAAAAGTAGCAGAGCATAGTTCGTCCTTCTGTTTCTCGTCGCCTGACAAGCTGGTACTAGACATTCGGGTAGACTAGACAAAAATGGCCGCCTTTATACACGACTGATTGAATGTTCTACGTCTTCTGATTGGTTAATCTTCTATTGGTGGACTATAAAGTGAGTCAAGTCAATCACATCATTTTGCATCCGCTGTGCAATTTCTTTTTCGACTGAGAACTGTTCACTTGTTCTTTCCTCGTGAGCCTCCCTACTATCGCTCTCTCCCAGCTCAAATCTGAAACGGAGACCCCGAGAGAACGAGAGAAAGGTCAAGAAAGAATATCTCGCTGGAGAGGCCGGCTAGCAGAAATTTACGCGGCATTTTTCTAAATGGATTGCGTCCTTCGAGTGGCTCATCTCTCTTCGTCGTTTGCTAATTGGATCTTTTCTGCTTAGCCTACGAGTCGATTGCTTCGACTGCCTCTTTTTATCATGTCGTTTTCTGGTCTATAAACGTCGTCGCGTTGTGTTCATAAATGTAGGGGGTCTGCGCACTGTCATGACGATTTCTGGCGCAAAAAACAAATGAAAGATAAATAAAACGACTCTGTAGCCAATCAAAATTCGTTTTTTATCGAAAAAGACTTTGAAAATAACAATCGATGTATATACTTTTATAGGATTGTTAATGTCCGTGACCTGGCATCTCGGCTTCAGTCGCTTTCCCACAACTTCCCTATGCCTTTTCTATCAATATCTTGTTCTGATAAAGTTTCCTCTTTGTAAATACACAGTAGGCTTATATTTTTTTAATTATTCTCTCTTATTCCCTTCCCTCCACAGACGAAAAATTGTACATATAGAAAATAGGACTTCATAGAGACTAGAGGTATTATAGTGACTGTAGTAAGAATGACAAGTAAGAATGTATTGTTTTGGTATAAGGAATACTATGGTATGTTTGGGTCAGTAATTTGGGTCTAGCTAAGTTTAAGATAAGACAGATTGAAGACCAGTCTTCCACAATTCCCCTTTTGGCCTTGTTCCACATTTTTGTATTTACAAAATAAATATTAGTTTCCACTATGCTACAATTGTACATATGACGACTAGCTAGGATTACATAAAGACTTGAGGTATTATGGTGACTGTGGTAAGAATGTTAAGTAAGAAAGTGTTGTTTTCGTGTAATGAATACTGTGGAATGTTTGGGTTAGTAAGTGTGGATAGCTAAGTTTAAGATAAGACAGATTGAAAACCAGCCTTCCAAAATCCCCCTTTGGCCTTGTGCCAGATTTTTGTATTCAAAAAATCAATAAATAAATTCCTCCATGGTACAATTGTACATATGATGACTAGTTAGGACTTCATAGAGACTTTGGGGTATTATGGTGACTGTAGTAAGAATAGTAAATAAAAATGTGTTGTTTTGGCATAAGGAATACTGATATGTTTGGGTCAGTAATCATGGCTATCTAAGTTTAAGATAGGACAGATTGGAGATCAGCCTTCTCCTGTGCCTCCTTTTGGCCTTGTGCCACTTTTTTGTATTTGCAAAATAAATATAGCTTTCTTCTATAGTACCTAGACTCTATGAAAATGCAGTACTAGATTGGCAACAAGGTCTCATTAATTTACAGTTGAATTGGGTAGATGAAACCATAAGTTCTATGCTAGCAGTTTCTTTTCTCACACTTCTCACTTGTGGAAATCTCTTCCAGCTTCTTACTTTCCAGTCAAATTTGAGATTTAAATTCAATGTCAATCATCTGTCTTCTTAATTTCTGTTCTTTTATTGTTCTCGCTTCCAAAGAAGAATCTGCAATGTTATTGATCCTGACCTGACATCTCGGCTTCAATCAGTTTCCTATCACTGTAATGTAGCTTTCATATAAATTTGTGATTTATAAAGTATTATAAAATTGTAATTTGTGACTTTCATACAAATAGTTTCATGGTAATAGTTCTGATAAACTTTCCTCTACAGAGACCCTGTGGTATTATGGGGACTGTAGTAAGAATGTATTGTTTTGGTGTAAGGAATACTCTAATATTTTGGGGTCAGTAATCATGGCTAGCTAAGTTTAAGATAGGACAGAATGAGGACCTGTTTTCCTCTATCCCCTCCTTTTGGCCTTGTGCCACATTTTTGTATTTTCAAAATAAATATTACTTCCCTCTGTGGCACCGAGACTTTATGAAATTAAACGCAGAACTAGATTGGCGGCAAGGTCTCATCTTTTTACAGTTTAAATGGCTAGACGTAACCGTAAGTTCTATGCTAACAGTTTTTTCTTTCGTACTTCTCGTTTGTGGGACTCTCTTCCAGTTTTTTGATATTCAAAGATCTAAATGCAATGTCAATCGTTATCTTCTGTTTTCTGAATCCTTGTTCTTTTATTGCTCTCTCTATTTAATAGTGTTTTTTTCTTCCTTATATTCGCTAAAACCTGATATAATGGAATATGCGTACAGCTGTGTTCCCCCTCACTGGGATATGATTGGCTGGTGATGATTATATATACATATATATATATATATATATATATATATAACAGTCAGTTCATATATCTATCTATCTATCTATCTATCTATCTAAGTGATATAATGGAATATGCGTACACCTGTCTTACTCCTCACTGGAATATCATTGGCTGGTGTCTGTCATAAATACCGACGGACGTGTAAGAGAGTCAAGAGCCTTAGTCTGAGAGCTAAGTCTATAACGGCGCCCATTGGACTACGCCATTGTTCTACACTTCTTACCTGCGACTACGACGCGTAAGATTCGATTACTGCTACCATATTCTACTTGGATATAGTAGCCAAAACCACTTAGCTACTTCGTTCAAATATATCCCTTTCTGGGACATATCAACACCCCATAACTTACTTACATCTTAGTGACTTTATTGCCTTGCTTTGGCTAAAATAATTTTAAAAAATAACGATACCATTTCCATCTGTCCAATATAACTCGGTCGCCCAGACTTCTCTCTGATACTAAATCGTTGTATACCAAATGTACGAGTAAAATATGGTGACTATATTGTCTAACATATCCTAAAAGACATGCTCAGCGGTTTGATCATGACGCTTGTTTTATAAAAAAAAAAAATAACCAATCTTCTAAAATAAACTTTCGACCCGTCCTGGGTACGACGATCAACTAACATCCGCTTCCTGGATAAGACGATAAACTACACCCAAAGGCCTCTGATTAGAAGGTTTTGAGAAGCGTGGGGTCATCTCTTCATTGCTGGTGTTCCCGGGTCCGCCCTGACACATAGTGGTGGTACCTGTCCGGGTAAATGACAATGGGTAAATGGTTGACTCCCAAACTGGAGGAAAACACTATAAAAGTGTAAAAATAGGTTTTAATACCAGGAATACTGTATAAAAAAAAATATTACCAGCACTAAATTTTGAAAAAATATTACCAGCAATACATTTTTGAAAAAAGAAATATTACCAAAAATAGACCTTTGAAAAAAATATTAGCAGTAACAGATTTTTGAAAAAATATATTAGCAGCAATAGATTTTTGAAAAAAATATTAGCAGCAATAGTTTTTTGAAAAAATATTACCACCATACATTTTTGAAAAAAAATATTAGCAGCAATAGATTTTTGAAAAAAAATATTTCCTGCAATACTTTTTTGAAAAGACATATTACCAGCAATACATTTTTGAAAATAAGTATTAAAAGGAATAAAAATCTTGTCGGCATTAAATAACCCATTGGGGTGGATATAAGTAAAGCAAACCAAACCAAACTTTAGACGAAACTTCTAACGATATAAAAAGAGTATTAGCTTAGGTGTGACACAAGGTCGAAAATAGAGAGCACTCAGTGAGTATCGAAGTCACTAGTCAGTCGTAATGGATCTAGCGAGACAAGCTTGCTAACGATTACACCAGATCGAAGTGCTAATGAACACTTATATCTCATCAAAATTACGTGGGTTGATTGATATGTATGTTATCCAGTTTTATGAAACATGTCTTAGACTAATTAAACTGGTATCCAAATGAAATAAATTTATTTCAATTCGCAATTACGAGGTTTGATTGATAATTAAGGTCTCTAATCCTATAAATCATGTTTTAGGTCAAATAAAATAATAAAACTTTATTAAAAACGAAGCCAATTTATTTCTCTTCAATTTTACGAGGTTTGACTGATAAATCTTCAATCATATGAAAAAAAGTTTTTAATTAGATACAATGAAACTCGTATGAAAATCACATAAATTGATATCTATTTAAAAGAAAAAATTGATTGATCGATAAGTTAAGAAAATGTTATAAAACAACTTCTAGAACAGATAGAATGAAAATTGTATCAAAATAAAGCAGATTTATAAATAAAATAAGCAAATTTATGCGGGTAAAATGAAATAATATTTATAAATTATTTATAAAATAATATTATAAATTATATAAATATAAATTATATAAATATAAATATTATGTAAATATTATGTAACATATATTATCCATAATATCATATATTATAATATAATATTAAATAATAATATAAACATAAATATTAAATATATTATATGATATAATATAATAATATAAATATAAATATTGAATATAATATAAATGTTATATAATATATTAATATTATATAATATATATAAATGTTATATAAATTATATAAATATTACAAAATAAAATAAAATAATTATAAAATAATATTATAAATTATATAAATATTATAAGATATATAAATATAATATAAATATTATAGAACATATATTATATGTAATATATATTATAATATAAATATTAAATAGAATAGAATAAAATATAAATATAAATATTAAATATAATATAAATATTATAATATATATATAAAAATTATATAAAATATTATAAATTAAAATTAAATTTATAAATTATTTATAAAATAAGTAACTTTATGCAGGTTGTTGGATTCATAAGATCTACAATTTTATAAATTTTATATTTTGGCCAGAGAGAACAATGGAACTGCTATCAAAATGAAGTAAATATAATTCACTTCAAAATTACAGCGGTTGGTTGATAAGTAAGGTTGCCAGTACTAATATAACACTTTTTTGTGGCCAACGAGGTCTGCATTGGAGAGGTATGATCTGCCGTATTCATCAAATGTAAACGGCTAGATCATGCGGCATGCTTAACATTTGCCCAACTCGTTGAATGTTCTTGGAAAATCTGTTTACCTTCATGAATTGTACGCCTCCACTCATTTCAGAAATTCTCAAATTGTTTGCCTCCTTGCACACTTTCACATGGGAAATATTTGCCACCGCCCACAATAGAGAACTCTGCAGGAATCTTTTTTTAAAGTGT